TAAATTTCAACCTGGCAGGTTTGCTACTAGGATTCAAGTCTGACGTCTATACTTATTTCAATGTTCGTCTCGCAAGCAGGAGGCATCTCTTCATGGAGCAGATCGTGGAATTGGCGAAAGGGAAGACAAAAATCAGTGTTCCCTTAGTATTGTCTTTAATTCGTCTTCATCATTATTATCCTAAGTCCTAAATCCAGAGACTATGATCTCTCAATTGATTTCTTCAACTTCGCTGTAGGGGGGCGCGCGCCGCGGGAGGCTCCGCCCCCGCCGCAGGCCCCGCCCCCGCTTCCGGGGCGCCAGCGCTCCTCCTCTTCGCCCTCCTGCTATCGACTCGCGCTGGGAGAGGGTCACGGTGACCCGGGGGAGGGGAGCCCTCCGCCGGCCCGAGAGCCCCCACTCTCTGGGCGCGGAAGCCTCGGCAGCCCGGCTCCGGCAGGACCCCGCACCTGATGACCCGCCCTCTTCGCCGCGGTGCTCGGAGTTTGTCAGCCGCTCCGAGCCGGGCTCCGCGCCGCCGTGACCGCAGCCGGGTGTCCCGCCCCCCGCAAACACGGACACCTCCCCTTGGGGCTCAGGCATGACAGAGGGAGCCCCGCTTCCCCTGGCTTGGCAGCTTGTCATCGGGTTCAGCGGATGAGCCACTGGCCCGCGCACGCCTGGGCTGGGGACACCCGAGGTCACATAAAATCCTCCTCCCCGGCGTGTAATTCTGAAGGCTCTCCCATTTGCTCTCTGTGCGACCGTGTCTGGTGGTCTTTTGTCCACTTGGCACAACCTCGTCGCTGGGCCCGCCCTTGCGCCCTCCTCCCTCCCCCCGCCCGAGACCCTGGGTACTGGTTCCAGCAGCCTGGCAACTCTGTCACCTAGGCTGAAGTCACTGTAGCCCTTCCCCCACACCCACCTGTCCTGGGGACACCTGAGGCCAGTGCGACTCTGGGCGCCCCAGCAGGTGCACACCTCCTATTCTGTCCCATCGCCTCAGTGCCTGCCTCCGTGACATCTTATCCTGGGTCAGCATCTGCCTCCCTCGTCTCCTCCATGCACATCTGGCACCACCACACCCGCTTGTGGCTTGTGTCACAGAACCCCTTCAAGTCCCTGTACCTGGAGGGAGTAGGATTCCCCCTCCCCGCGGAGCCTCTGCCTCTTGGGTCTCTGGACCCAGCAAGATGCCCCCGTTGTGTTCCCCTGTGACCCACAGGAGCCTTTCAGTCTGTCGAGCTCCCTGTCGGGGCACCCTGGGGGCAGGGGAAAAGGACCCCTCACACGCAGGCATTTCGGCCACTCCCTGGTCACGCAGCCGCCCTGCACAGCTTGACTGCACTCCCACATCCAGGATCCACCCCCCATCCTCCCCTCTCTGCCCCGGGTCGGCGTGGACTGCTCCCTGGGGAGTCTGTTGGGAACCCAAGTGCTGGCACTGGACGCAGCCCAGGGCAGGAAGCTCAGCCAAGACAAACAGGGTCCCTGCTGGGGTCCGCAGGGCTGCCCTCCCGGGCCCCAGCGCGGAGGAGACCAGACTGGGTAGGGGGCCCAGGGTTCCTGTCCTGGCCCAGGCCGTCCCCGGAGCAGAGAGGAGCCCCGCAGGTGTCTGTGTCTGTCAGCTCCATCCCGCCCTCCCATCTCTGTTGGTTTCCACCCATCTCTGCAGTTCGGTGCCTCGAGCCTCCCACCCCACCCCTGCTCCTTGTTATGATTTGATTTCTTTTCTTTTGGACAAATCGGTCATTTCTGTTGTGATTTATCGTGGTGTTGTTTTTTTTTCTTCCTTTTCCCCCCATCCAGTTATTGTGATCACTCTAAGCCCTGCTCCTGCCCCGTCCCAACGAGCAGGTACCAGCCTTTTTATCATCGCCGCTTGGACATCTGCACCATCAACCTAACCGCTGCCCGGCTGCAGAATGCCACCCCGTCCCCCTGTGCTGTGTGTGTCCCCGTCTCCTCCTCTCGCGCGCTCTCACTCCACACGGGCGGCCGGCGGCACCCGGCCCTGGCTCTGCGCCTCCCACCTGCCCTCTGCCATTCTCCCTGGGCTCGGGCTCGGGCCCCCTAGAGAAGGCAGTGTGCCGCCTGACGGCACGGGAGCCCATCACCCGCGAGGGCCTGTGTGTGTGTGTGTGTGAGAGAGAGAGAGAGAGAGAGAGAGAGAGAAAGCTGGGCCAGGCAGGCACACACCTCACGAGGCAAGAGGGGGCCCAGTCAGATGCACGTTAGATCCAGCTCGACCATTGGAGCAGCTCCTGTCTCGTCCGCCTGCCTGCCCTGGGCGGCCGTACCTGCTCTGGTCACGGAGGGCACAGCGCTGCACTGACGGGACAGTGCGGCTGCACAGGGCTCTCCTGGTGGGCAGTGAGCTCACTCCCAGCAGGGGAGAAGGTGCTAGCGGGGTGAGGGACTGCACAGGGGCCGGTCAGGGAAGGCTCTGGGGGATGAGGAGTTTGAGCAGGAAACTGAACAGCCTCGCTCAGCCCCTGCACAGGTGCGGGTGTGTTTAGGAGCAGATGGGCCAGTTCTGTGTGCTGTACCGCGCGCGTGTGTGTGTGTGAGAGAGAGAGAGAGAGATCGGGGGCGCTGACACTGTCCGCGTGTGGGCGTGTGTGCCATGCTTGTGTGGCCACGCGGAGGAGACAGGCTGGCTCTGTCCCTGTCTGCATGTGTGTGGGGCGTGTGTGCTTGCGCCTGTGTGGGTGCATGTAGGGCGGGCAGCCGGTCTGTCCATGGCTCTTGTCAACAGGTGTGCCCCCCCCCCCGCATGGCCTCCCACTCTCATTCATTCATTCACTCTCCCTCCCTCCCTCCCTCCCTCCCTCTCCCGTGCCCCGCCCCACTCTCACTCCACCCTCCTGACCTGCTGTGTGGCCATTCCCATCTCTGTGACCTCTCTTCGTAGGGCCTTTGTGTGGCTCCCGCACACCCACACACATTCACTCCCCTGCCCCCTCAGTGGCCCTCAGAGCCCCACTGTGCTCCGGGTTGTGGGGCCAGCAGTCTTCCCTGAGCTTTGGGCAGCCCTCCAAGGGCACCACACACACGGGGAGGCTGGGGCTATGGCGTCTCCCCCGCAGGAGCCCGCGGTGCAGGCAGAAAGGGGCTTGGGCAGCCCCCCGGGCAGGGGGAGAGCGGGCAGGCTCTGAGGAGGAGGGGACCCTCAGGAGCGGGGAGGGCTTGGGCTGTGATGAGGGTGGTGGGAGTGGGCAGGGGAGGTGAGGCCTGCAGGCCAGTTGAGAGCACAGGGCCTGGCCTGGTCCCCAGCTCCCTGGAGCCCTGTGTCCGGCAGACCCTGGTGGGACTGAGCGGTCTTCTCAGCCGACAGGTGGGCGTCCTGTGGCTGGCTGTGATGGGGACCAGGTCAGCGGGCCAGGAGAGGGCCTGGCTGCCAGCACCCCTGCCATGTGGCTCTGCTCCTTGGTCCGTGGGCCCCAGTCTGCAGGAGCTAGCAGGATGGGGGGGGGGGCGAGGCAGGAAGTGAGGGGCTATCTGCTGAGGCTGGGGGAGAGCCAGGCACCCTTGGGAGGCGGGGCCTTGGAGGCCTGGAAGCAGTGCCCTGAGGGGTCAGCGGGTCAGGGCTGCACTGCTCTCCTGGCCCCTGCTGTTCCCCCCAGCTGTTAGCCAGCACAGGGAGACCCCGAGCTCCACAGGGACCTGCTCTGTTCTGGCCCCCGGTCTTGGTTCCTGTCTGTCTGTCTGTCTCCTGCCCTCCCACCTCCTAACGCCAGGTGCCCGCTGCCTGCCCGCTGCCCGCCCCGCCCCCTGCCTGTAGCATGCCCGAGCTGTCCGCATGCAGGCTGCTGGAAAGACCCCAACCTATGCCTGGCCCACTCTCCCACCCCATCCTGCCGGCCTCTGGAGGGCCCGTGCCACCCGGATCCCCTCACCCCAGGACGCAGGCACGGCCGGGGTCCTGCCCCCAGCCCCTCCCCCAGTGGCCCTGGTTGTGCCCTTGATCAGCCTGCTGGCCTGAGAGTGGGGCAGGGCAGCTGAGCTCTCCCCAGGGGTCTGCCTTGCTCTTGTGGGGCTGCCAGGTCCAGGCTTGTCAGCAGCGTAGGGTCCAGGTGGCTCCTGGCAGACATCCGGTCCTTGTGTGGTCAGAGTGCAGGTGCAGTGGCCCTGGGCCTGCCCTGTAGGCGGAGGCCGGAACAGAGGGCCCCCATCAGCCCCCTCATTGCACTGTCGTCATAGACTTTGGGACAAACCCTCAGCCTCCCCTGCCCTCTCCTGCCAGCCTGCTCTTCCCAGGTGTGGGGGCTAGGAGAAGGCCCCCCAAGGATCCCCCCGGGGATAGGGAGGGAGGACCCTGCTCCCCCAGCCAGCAGAGCAGGGACTGGACTGGCCTGGCTGAGGCACACAGGGAAGGGAAGGTGAGAGTCCCCACCCCTTCATCCCGGGGTACCTGACCTCACCCCTGTGCACCCCTGGTTCTCACCCCTCAGCCCTGCAGCTTCCACTGGCCAATGATGGGGGCAGCCGCTCGCCGTCCTCAGAGAGCTCCCCGCAGCACCCCACGCCCCCCGCCCGGCCCCGCCACATGCTGGGGCTGCCGCCCACCCTGTTCACCCCACGCAGTATGGAGAGGTGAGCCGTGGGGGGGGGGCCGGCTCGGGGTGGGGGTGCCAGCTGACTTCAGGTGGGGCAGGACCTCCCCTCACCGGCACCACTCCCTGTTCCCCCAGCATTGAGATTGACCAGAAGCTGCAGGAGATCATGAAGCAGACGGGCTACCTGACCATCGGGGGCCAGGTACTGCCCTGCACCTGCGCCTGTGCCCGGGCCTCCAGGAGGGGGTGGGGGGGCAGGACCCCACTGGGCTGAAGGGAGCAGAGGCCCCCGACCTCCAGCCCTCACTTCCCTCACCAGCGCTACCAGGCGGAAATCAATGACCTGGAGAACCTGGGCGAGATGGGCAGCGGCACCTGCGGCCAGGTGTGGAAGATGCGCTTCCGGAAGACCGGCCACGTCATCGCCGTCAAGGTGAGCGGGCGCCCCTGGCCTGGGCGCGGCCCCAGCGCTGCGCGCTGCGGTGCTGAGGCTCGGTCCCTCCCATCTGGCAGCAAATGCGGCGCTCGGGGAACAAGGAGGAGAACAAGCGCATCCTCATGGACCTGGACGTCGTGCTCAAGAGCCACGACTGCCCCTACATCGTGCAGTGCTTCGGCACCTTCATCACCAACGTGAGCCGCCCCGCCCGCCTGCCCCGCCCCCAGCCCTGCGGGTGGGCTGGCTGACCAGTGCCTGCTTCCCTCCCCCGCAGACGGATGTCTTCATCGCCATGGAGCTCATGGGCACCTGTGCCGAGAAGCTCAAGAAGCGGATGCAGGGCCCCATCCCGGAGCGCATCCTGGGCAAGATGACGGTGGCGGTGAGCCGACAGCGGGCTGGCCCGCCGGTGGGGAGGGCGGCGGCCCCAGGCCCTGCAGCCCTCACAGGCCCCTGCGTGCCCCTGCCGCAGATCGTGAAGGCGCTGTACTACCTGAAGGAGAAGCACGGCGTGATCCACCGCGACGTCAAGCCCTCCAACATCCTGCTGGACGAGCGGGGCCAGATCAAGCTCTGCGACTTCGGCATCAGCGGCCGCCTGGTGGACTCCAAGGCCAAAACGCGGAGTGCCGGCTGCGCCGCCTACATGGCTGTGAGTGGGGTTCACGGGGGTGGGGGGCGGGGGGCCGGGAGAGGCCAGCCCCGCCCCAGGGGTTCATCTTGCCCCTCCCTGCCTGCAGCCTGAGCGCATCGACCCCCCGGACCCCACTAAGCCCGACTACGACATCCGGGCGGACGTGTGGAGCCTGGGCATCTCCTTGGTGAGCGCAGCCCTACCTCCCTCCCCCAGGGCCAGACCTCCTGGGGACGCGGTGGGCGGGTGCATGGGAGCCCAGCCCCTCCCACCCAGCCTCTCGTGCCCCCGCAGGTGGAGCTGGCCACGGGGCAGTTTCCCTACAAGAACTGCAAGACAGACTTCGAGGTCCTCACCAAAGTCTTGCAGGAGGAGCCCCCACTCCTGCCGGGCCACATGGGCTTCTCGGGGGACTTCCAGTCCTTCGTCAAAGACTGGTGAGGACCCTGCGCGGGGGCGGGAGGGCACGCCCTGATATGGGCGGGGAGCAGCTGCTGGGGAGGCCCAGGCTGGAGCTGGGGCCCTGGGTGCGGCAGACTGGGTTTAGATCCTGCCAAAGCTGGCCCCTTGGACGTCTGGCAAGGTGACCCTGCAGGAGGCTGCCAAGCAACCCCAGGCCACGCCCATCCTCCCTGGGGAGCTCCGCCCACCCTGCTGTGGAGCATCATGCCTGTCACACTGTGCTGGGCCAGGGCACTTCAGGGACGCGCTGCTGGCCAGGTCCCAGCCTCTGGACAGACTGGAAGGACCCCCACTCACAGCGGGAGCTGAGCCAGGAGGAGCCAGGCCCCCTCTGGGCTCTCACCTGCCTCCTCCCCCCTCTCCCTGCAGCCTTACTAAAGACCACAGGAAGAGACCAAAGTATAATAAGCTACTTGTAAGTACCCGACCCCTGGCAGCCCTCCCCTGCCGTTCCGCAAGCCGCCTCGTGCCCTGTGGGGAAGGCCCTGTCCTAAACCCTGCCCCTCGCACCTGCAGGAACACAGCTTCATCAAGCGCTACGAGACACTTGAGGTGGACGTGGCGTCCTGGTTCAAGGACGTCATGGCGAAGACTGAGTCGCCGCGGACTAGCGGAGTCCTGAGCCAGCACCACCTGCCCTTCTTCAGGTAGCCGCGTGGCAGCGGCTAGCCCCCAGGGGCCAGGGGCATGGCCACCGGCCCCCCTCCCCACCCGGCCACCCAGCTGCCTGCCAGGGGAGACCTGGGACCTGGACGGCCGCGAGGGCTGAGGACAGACAGTGGGGGGCGCTCGCCCACCCCCTCGCTCCCTGCCCACCAGCCGTGGACAGACAGGCCCACCAGCCCCCAACCCCTCCCGCTCCGGGCCGTGCCGTCCGCCGACAGACACTGTGAACGGAAGACAGCAGGCCGCGAGCAGACTCGCTATTTATTCAGTCGTAACCTCCGGCTGGGGCCCCGCACCCCCCAGGGCGAGGCACCCCCTCCGCCCCTCCCCACGCACCTGCTCCTCCGCGCCTCCTCCCGCCGCCTCCCTCTCTACCTCTCTGCCCCCAGGACTTCCCGCTGCCTCCCGCCCTGCCTCTGTCCTGGCCCAGGACGGCCCTGTGGGTGTTGTGACTGCAGCCGCCCCCGGGCTGGCTTCTGCCCCCCTTTCTCTCTCTCTCTCTCTCTCTCTCTGTCTCTCTCTGTCTCTCTTTGATCTCAGGGGGTCCTTTTTGGAGTTTATTGTATTTTATTGTACTTGGTGGGGCGTTTGGGGGAGGGGGAGGAGAGCTTGTCCTCGTGGGGTTTGTGGGTACCTTCAGAAATTTTACCAAAGTCAGGTTTAGCTGCTTGTGAGGGGCGGCCCAGGGAGCGGGGCTGGGCCACCGTTGCTCCTCAGGCCTGGTCTGGGCCAGACAGGCCCACAGGTGGGCTCCGGGGGCTCCTCCCCCAGGGCTGGAGTTGGGCTGGAGTTGGCCGAGGCTCGGGGTGAGCTGAGCTCAGGAGGTGTGGGGGAGCCGGGATGCAGGCCGCCCTGGCCGCTCAGGACGGCCTGCAGGAAAGGTGGGCGCAGGGTGTGGTGGGAGTGACAGGGAGGTGCTTGGAGGGACTCAGAGACAGGGGCGGGGGCTGTGGGCTGAAGGAGGGGCCTGGAGGGAGTCAGGAGTTGAGGGCAAAGGGAGTGAATGTGGGGGTTTGCGCAAGTGAGACAGGTGCGGGCGCCCGGGAGGCCTGGCGGAGGGATGGGGACCTGCAGTGGCTCCCCGGCAGTAATGCCCCCACTCACCCCGAGCCACGGTCCCCAGCACACCCTGGAGCTGGTCCCTGGGAGCCGGCTGCACAGGCCAGAGCAGGGGGGTGTCCTTGGTGGTGATGCATGTGAATCAGGCGGGCGAGGAAACAGGAAAACCCCGCGGAACCACAGACAAAACCCAAGCTGCACCAAAGCGAGGAGCCCCGCTGGATCTGGGGGGAGCAGCTAGGCTCAGGCCCACAGCGGCCCCTTCCCCGACTCCCGTTACGATATCCACGAGATGCTGCATGTGTACAATGTAGTAGATGTCACCGCCTCCCTGCCCCCACCCCGGAGGCAGGGCCACCCTCTCCCATCCCGGGCCCCTTTGTGAGGGACCCCTGGTGGGGAGCCCACAGGCCTGGCCCTGCCTGCCCGGCTGAGCCCAGCCCCAGGGCCTTTGCTGGTATCTGGGAGGTCGCTGGGGCTGGGGCATGGGGACACGGCTCAGGCGAAGGCTGGGCTGCCTGGTTTTATTTTTATTTAACTTTATTTTCTGTTGTGTGTGTGTCTGCCCGGCCCTTCCCCTTCAGTGTTACGTGGGAGCCCTGGGGGAGTCTCTCCTACCTCCCTGCCTCCCCCAAGACCTCCCCCTCGGTCACCAGCCACCCCTCTGGACCAGACAGAGGGCGGACGGGGCAGGCAGGGGCTGGGGTGGTGTGGCCAAGCCCACCGGCCCACAGACCCCCTCTCAGGCCGCCAGTATTGTCCCGTCCCTTTTTAAAAACGAAATGCCCTTGTTTGTAAATCCTTAGAGCTTGAGAATAAACCACCCCCCCACACCTTTTCCTCCGCGGAGTCTGGCGTGTGTGTCTTGTCATGACCAGCGGGGAGCCGGCCTGGTGCCCACGGAGGAAACTGAGGCAGAGCTGAGGGCGGGCTGAGCAGCCAGTCAGGTGGCTGCTGGCAAGGGACCCCAGCCACTCCAGCAGGCTCAGGTCGTGCTGGGCGGCAACCTTTAATCCCACAGGCCTTGGGAGCCGGCTCTGATGTCAGCCCCTTAGGCCGCCACCCCCGCTCCCCACCTTCTCGGTGGCCACCCAGCCAAGGACAGAGCCGCCTGTGCTGGCGACCTCAGCGGGGGCAGCATGCTGGGCCCTGTGCTCCTGCTCTTGGTCTTGCTGCCTCGGGCCTGCCTCTCGCCCAGCGGGCCACCCGGTACGTACAGCTGGGGGACCCTGGGCCCATCATTCTCCCGCCATCCCTGCCCCGCATGACCACGAGTCCCCCCCGCCTCAGGGGTCCCATCCATTCGGGCTGGCATCCCCCAAGTGCCAGCGGCCACTGTGATGGTGGGGGAATGGTTTGGGCGATAGTCGTGGGGCGGTCCATAGGGCTCGGAGCCCCTGCGCACCGGGACCTCAATGAGCGCTTCCAAAGGAGGCAGGCATGCGTCTGCGCATGGGCGTGCTCACGCCCGTCTGTCGCAGAGGGGAGACCCCCCCCCGCCCCAGCCTCTATTGCCTTCTGCCTTCGGCCTGGGAATGTGGAGCTGGGCAAATGGGGAGCCCACCCGCTGAAGGGCCGCGGCTGTTTCCGTGGGCCCCTGGCTTCCCGCCGTCCCTGCGGGTGCCAGCACCTGACTCCCCGACAAAGGGGAGCAGCCTTCACACAGTGCGACGCACCTGCAGGCGCTTCCAAAGCCCTTGTGCACCCGGAATTCCCTCGCCCACCTTGCAGATAGAAGGGGGCAGGGGAGACTTCCCCAGACACGCCCAGAGCGCTGACCCCGGCGGCCTCAGCTGCTGGGCCGAGCCGTCCCCGGGGGGCTCATCAGACGGCCCCCTGCGGAGGACGCAGCGTGACGCGAACCAGGTGAAGCCGCTCCCAGGACCGTATCCCTTCCCCAGGGGAGGCGACGGGGGCGAGGAGGTCGGGTCGTTTTACCCAGAGCCCGAGGGGCAGCTCGACCTCTCCCCCGTGTGTGCCGCCCTCCCTGATCTCCACCAGCGCCCCCGTTCCCTGCGGCGCCCGGGCCCTGGCTGCGCAGACCCCTGTTCAGTCTGGAGCTGTCGGACGCCGAGGACGCCTTCCCGCGGCGCGCGGGGCCGCTCGAGGTCCCCGCCGACAGCCGCGTGTTCGTGCAGGTGCGGATACCCGGAGGCCCCCAAGGGCAGCAGGGCGCAAGTGGGGCTCGGCCACCCTGATGGGATGGCGCCTCCGTCCCCCAGGCGGCCCTGGCCCGTCCCTCCCCGCGCTGGAACCTGGCCCTGCACCGTTGCTCGGTGACGCCGTCCTCGCGCCCGGCCCTGGGGCCCGCCCTGGTGCTGCTGCGCGGAGGCTGCCCCGCCGACGCCTCGGTAGCCTTCCCGCCACCGCCGCCGCCGCCGCCGCACGCCGGCGCCACAAGCCCCGTACGCTTCAGCTTCCGCCTGCGCCCGGTCTTCAACGCCTCGGTGCAGTTCCTGCACTGCCAGCTGAGCCGCTGTCGCCGCCTCCGGGGAGTCCGCCCGGCGCCTGCACCGCTGACGCAGCCGCCACCACCGCCACCGCCATCGCGGGTGCGCGAGCGCGGAGACGGGAATCGGGACGCCAGGAGCCCCTTGCGCCGCGAATGGGGGCTCCAGCGCATCTCTGGAAGCTGAAAGAGGCTCTTGCGGGCTGGGGAGCTGGGGTTCCTGGAGGCTGTGGGAGGTCTGGGGGCGGGAATACCGTGGGGGCTAGGTCGCTGTCCCCCCGGGGCTGGGCACCTGATGCTGTTTCCCAGGTTAGGTGCCGAGAGTCGGATGGGAGCTTGTCGTTGAGGGGCTGACATCTGGGGGTCTTCTGTGGACTCCGGCCCCAAGGGGCCGGATTGCCAGACTCCCAGTGGTGGCCTCTTGGCTCTGGGGGAGAGCTGGACGCTCAGGTCTCTCGGGAGTCCTGGACAGCAGACCCAGGATACCGGGGCCCTCATGTCCCCGTCTCCCCTCAGTGTCTGCCTCAGGATGCGGCGTGCGCGGGCGCCGGCGAGAACCTCGGCGCCGACAGCCCCCACCTGCACACGCTCACGCAGCCCATCGTGGTCACGGTGCCGCGGCCGCCCCCCAGTGAGCGAGCAGGGAGGGGGTGGTCCTGGGGGACGTGGGAAGGACATCTGCAACCGGGGCCGGCTCTCAGTTTTGCACTCCTCATAGGGCCGCCCAAGAGCATTCCGGGCAGGGCCGTGCGCCCGGAGCCGCCCGCGTCTGCCCCCGCAGCCCTAGAGCCCGCGCCGGTGGTGGCGCTGGTGCTGGCGGCCTTCGTGCTGGGCGCCGCGCTGGCCGCTGGGCTTGGCCTCGTCTGCGCGCACTCAGGTACGGGTCCCCGCCCTGCTGGGACCACCGCGGGTGCCCTAGGCTACTCCTGCGTATCTGGCGCTCCAAGAGCCCAGCGGGCGGAGCCGGGCCACCTGCAGGCTCGCCTCCGCCGCAGCCTCCAGGGGGCGCCCGTACCCTCCCACCGTAGCCTGCTCCCCTCTTGCAGCGCCGCCGCCCGCAGGCCCGCCCGCAAGAGCCCTGCCCAGCGCTCCCCAAGCCAGGAGACCCCAGTGAGGCAGGTGAGGGAGGTGCTTGGGAAGAGAGGAATATTCAGCGCGCTTCCTCCGCTATCGACGCACCGTCCTGAAATGTGTTACGCAGGGGAACCCTCGCTACCGCAAGCAGGCAGATACGATCCTAATGCGTATTTTTAGGGGCGAGAAAATGAGGCGCCCCAGGAAGCGAGGTGATGTGTCCAAGGTCACAGCATAAGGGGCAGCTGGGATTAGAACTCGGGGAGTGGGGCGCCCGCCACGCACTGCAGGCTCTGGCGGGGCAGAAGGGGCCTCAAAACTTGGGAGAGAATTCGGGGTTCAGAGCCAGGTGCCGCTTTCACCCCGGCACACAGACTCGCGGAGGAGGCCAGGCGGTCTGCGGGAAGGCAGGTGGCCTGCCCAGCGTCCCGACACTCACTCACCTACGGCCGCCTGTCCCCAGGCGTGGCGCGCTCCCAGCGGGGTCCGGAGAGCCACCCAGGCCCGCCAGGATATGAACCAGCCGTCCCAGACCCCGGACCCGAGGGCACCACGACTTCGGCGCTTCTCCCCCGCTCCCCTCCCACCTGAGCTCAAAGTAAACCTGTGGACTGCCCGGCTGAGTTCTGGAGACGTCAGTGAGGGTCCCTGACGCGGGAGGCCGAAAGGGGTGGCGCAAGGGGGTCAGGACTGGAAGGCGGGGCTCATACGCCCACGTCCAGGGGGGCACAGATGTGTCCGGGGAGACCCAAGAGCGTTTGACCTCAAACACAAAGCGACACCCAGCCGCAGCAGCTTAGCCCCACCCCCACCCCTGCACCTGCCCACCTGTTTCTCCGCTTGTCCACGCCCCCCGGCCCTGCCCCCGCTTCCGACTTCAGCCTCCTCGCTGGGGTGGACTCCCTCCTTAGATTGTCCTTATAGGTTTTTGTTTATTTCACTTGAGAGAGTACGCCCCCACCTGTTGGTTCACTCTCCAAATGCTCACAATGGCTAGGGCTGGGCCAGGCGGAAGCCAGGACCCATAAACTCCATCCGGGTCCCACGTGGGTGGCAGGGCCCCAAGCGCTGGAGCCAGCACCAGGGTGCAGACTAACAGGGAGCCGGAGCCGGGACTCAAACCCGGGCCTTGGGATGTGAGATGCAGGGGTCCCGACCGCTATGCCGAGAGCTCCCCATGCATGAGCAAGAGGGGGGCTCCTCGCCCCAGTTCCCAGAAGAGCAAACAGAGCTTCCGTCCGTGAAGGGCCCGTGTTCGTTCCCGCTCCAGCTTCGGAGCCAGCCTCCCTGCCACAAGGGAAGTGGCGGTTCCCCGCGGCCCCTTAAGGCGGGGCCACGCCCCCATTTACTTCCGCCTTCGCGCGGCGCTTTTCTGACCTCAGCGGCCACCGTAGCCCCGCCCCCTCCCAGGGCCGCGGCCCTCCACGCGCAGACGAGCTCTCTGACCGGCATGAAGCCACCGGCGCGGCGGCGAGCGACCCCCGCGCGCTACGTGGAGGAAGTGACGGGACCCCAGGCCTGGAGTCCCCGCGAGAAACGGCAGCTGCTGCAACTGCTGCAGGCGCGGCACGGCCAGCCGGAGCCAGACGCTGCCGAGCTGGCCCAGGAGCTGCAGAGTCGGAGCGAGACTGAAGTGAGATGCGGCCCCGCAACGAGGGCGACGCGGGGGGCGGGGCCCCGAGCGTGAGCCCCGGCGGGGGCGGGGCTTGATAGGCGCGGGGGCGGGGCTTGGGCTGGAAGAACCTGAGCATCAGGCTCTGGCGAGACACGAGGCTGAGGGGCGGGGTGAACTCAGATGTTGTGGATGGAGGCCGCTGATGGGGCGAGAGGCACAGCTGGACCGAGTGGGATGGAGTCAGGAGATGGGATGGAGCACTGAGCCGTCGGGCGGGGCCCTGGCTGCGGGGAGGAGCCAGACGGGCCTGGGCCTTGACCTCCTCCTTGGATAGCTGGTCGTATTTTGGGGTCTTGGCTTGGGGCCGGGCAGTGTCAGGGTGACCCTTGATGCCAGGGTAGTGGACAGCCGGGGAGCAGCTGCCGACCCTGGGTCAGGCCAGGCAGCGGGCTTTGGCCTGAACTTCTAGAAGGCCCATCGTGCATCCCACCCCCTTCTCCCCAGATCCGGAACTTCCTCCAGAAGCTCAAGGCCCGTGTGGTCCGGGAGGCTATTCAGAGGGTGCATCCAGATGGCCCACAGGGAGCACGGCGGCGGGAGGCCCAGCCCCCTGCCCCCATAGAGGTGAGGCAGGTGGTCCCTGGGAGCGGAGTGGGACTTGGGATGTGGAGTCACGTGCGCTGACCCCGTACCTCTGGGTGCACGCAGGTGTGGATGGATCTAGCGGAGAGGGTCACGGGCCCGCTGGAGGGAGCCCTGACCACAGCCTTCTCACAGGTACTGCACCCCCCAGGCAGGGCGGGGGCGTCCCGGCGTCCGAGTAAGAGTTCTGTGGTCCCCCTCCCCCAGGTCCATGGCCGTGAGGCCATCTCCTGGCTCCCAGGGAGGAGTTGGTGAGGCCAGGCGGACAGGACATGCCCCTCTCTGTCTGCCAGGCACTCACCATCGCCACCACGGAACCCACCAACCTCCTGCACTCCAGGCCCGCCAAGCCCACGCAGGCACGTGCAAAGCCGCTGCTGCTGAGCGCCCCCGGAGGGCCGCAGGACCCCGCCCCGGAGGTGCCTGGCCCCGCCCCTGAAACATCTGGCCCCGCCCCCGAGGCCCCTTCCAAATCCTCTTCTGGCCCCTCCCTGGCTGAGGGAGACTTCCCCGTGGACTTCGAGAAGATTTACAAGTACCTGGCCTCCTTCTCCCGCGGTGGCCAGGCTCCTGAGCTCTCGGCTACCGGTGAGAAGACGGAAAGCGAGGGGTTGGGGCGGGGTGCAGCAGGAGACCCCCACCCTCCCCTCATGCTCCCCATCTCCCTGCATCACCAGAGTCGGCCGTGGTCCTGGACCTGCTCCTGTCCCTCCCTGAGGAGCTGTCGCGCCTGCCCTGCGTCGCCCTGGCTGAGCACATGGCCCAAATGTACAATCGCCTGACGGCCCCCGAGCCCAGCCTGGCTGAGGGGGGCCCTGCCGGGGAGAGCCCTCCCGGGGAGAGCCCTGCCGAGGCGGGAGGAGAGGCAGGCAGGGGCCAGGCCAGCTCCCAGGGCCCCGAGGGCACTGGGCCCAGCGACCTGAGGTCCACCTGGCAGGCAGCTGGCATCTGCCCCCTTAACCCATTCGTGGTGCCCCTGGAGCTCTTGGGCCGGGTGGCCAGCCCTGCAAGGTGAAGCCCACGCCTGACCTCCTGGGCGGAGCCGCCGTCCTGCCCAGCTAGCGCTGGGCCGCGGGAGGACCCTGGGGTGCCAGGTCCCAACCACAGTGCTCAGCCAGTGGGCGAGTCTGCAGGGCGCTGCACACAACAGGGTCTCAGGAATGGAACCACAGCCGTGCGGAACTCCCGTGGGGACGCTGGCCTGCTGCCCCGGTGTGCCTTGTTCTCTGCTGGGGGCCGTCACAGGCACCGGACACACCGTGCACCTGCGACCTGCCATTGTCCGGGTTTCGTCACACTCTGACCCCCCACTCCTCACCCCTTCTTGTGACTCAATAAAGTGCCCGCCAGCCTGCCTCGCTCTTCTTGGGGTCCTGAAGTGTCAGAGCTTGTGTGTGTGTCCAGGGTGGGGTGCAGGGAGGGCCCAGGGCCCAGCAAAGGCTCCCTGCCTGGGGTGACCTTGGTGACTGCGAGGAGGTGGCTCTTTGACAAGCGTGGATGAAAAGGGCTGAGGCAAGACTCGTGGCGACAGGTGTGAGGGACAGGTTTCCAGAGCCGGGCAGTGTCCTATGGTGACAGATGGCAGGGGGAGAAGCCAGCAGAGGGCCAGGGCAGCCACATGGGTGCAGCAAGGTCTCCCACAGAGGCCCACGGCTGGGTTTGGATGGGCTCAGCGCTTCCACAACCGCTAGACAAAAAGGGAAGTGGAGGCAGAGCTGGTGGGGAGGGAGGTTCTGGAGCCGGGGCAGGGGGTTGTTGGGCTCCACCTGCCCTGAGGGTGCAGTCACAGGTGGACCTGGGAGAGCCAGCCTCTCACCGGGGTACCAGGTGTGTCCCTGAGCCCAGCCAGCCGGCTGAGCGCAGTAAATTTTCAGTTCTGGGAGCCGAGTGCGCACAGCCTTCCTTTTATAGAAACGCTCGTTTCTCCCCCTACACACGCTGCACACAGCTCCCCGGGGCCCGCAACACATCTCCCCCACGAGGGCGCTGGAGCAGAGCCAGCCGCGCTATTCCGCGGTCAACGCCCCCGGGGAGCCTGGCCTACTCACGCAGCCTCAGTGGGCAGGAAGGAGAGAGGACGCCCAGGAGATGGGAGGCTGCAGGCTGGGTTCTCGGAGAGACCCTCCAGAGTCTTGGGGGCCAGGGAAAGAAATCCGGGGGGGGCCCTGATTACGCCTGGAGCTGGGGAGATCAAGATGGTTACATGCCGGGCTCCTCCGGGCAGAGCTGGCAAAGGTGTGGGTCTGGGTGCTTGCCAGACCCAGCATCCCCTCCCACCCCCGTCCCCTTTCTGTGCCCACTCTACAGGTTCCTTCTCAAAGCCCAAGAGCAAGCAGGCTACGAACAGGAGGTGCTAACTCGGCACACGCAGTAAGCGTTCGATCGTAGCTTTTATTGTCATCATCGCTCAGAGGCAGGAAGAGTGAAAAGGTGTTGGGGTCCGGCAGGAGGTCCAGGGGGAGGTGGGCACGCTGACCTGTCCCGGGGCCCAGGCGGGAGGGGCGGGGAGGGGCGGGAATGAGCCTGCTCGCTCTGGAAGGCGCCAGGCATCCTGGATTCGGCAGCCGCCGTTCCGGGAGCCGGCTCTGGGGCAGGCTGTGCTGGACACATGGGTATGCAGCGTCCACGCCGCGGGCCTAGACAGCCTGTGCAGCAGGGCTGGAGCGCAAGGAAGGGCTCAACACTCAATCGAGGTGGAACTGGGGATAGCCAGACAACGGGGGCGGGGGGAGAGGAGACAGGGGAGTCCCCGCCTCCGGGAACAGGTGTGACACTCGGACCCGAAGGAGGAACTAGAGCAGAGCTACTTACACGCTGGGGTGGGGGAGGAGTTGGCGCGGGGTCGTCCTCCTGCCCAGCCTTCGCGGTCACCCGGGCCAGCCAGGCGGGTGATTGTGGAGAAAGGGCAGGGGCAGCGCGGAGCAAGGCACAGGTGGGGCTCCAGCCAGGCCAGAAGGGGAGATGGGCGAGGTCGGGAGGGGGAGGGGCTGCAGTTTCTCCACGCCCTCCCCCCTCCCTCCCACCACGCGCTGGGGGCTCCAGGCCAGGGTCCCGGGCGCCGCTGCCTCACACCAGCGCGTAGTCGAACTGCCCGCGCTCGAGCGCCTCCTTGTGGTCGGTCCAGGACGAGGCGGGCATGCGGCTGTAGGGGTCGAGCAGGATGCGCACACAGCGCACCATCAGCAGCACCAGCACCACGAGCAGGCAGAGCACGAAGGCGAACACCGTGCGCTGCTCCGCGTCCAGGCCCGCGCCCACAGGGGGCCCCGTGGACGGCGGCAGCGGCTCGGGCGACAGCGTCCACGTCGCGCTCATGGCTCACATCGCCGCGCGACCTGCGGAGGAGTGGGCCCGCCCGGGGTGCGGGAATGAGGCTGCGCCCCCCCCCGCCTCCGTGTCGCCCCCGTTCCATTTTGGAGACATTAATGATTGTCAGAAATTAATGTAATGAGAACAACACCTAAAAAGAACTTATATTTTATATCCATTCTCCAAGAATTCGATTGAAGAATGGGTGCGCATCTTAGGGGTAGGCAGCTAACCACGAGGAAGAAGGATAGGTTCAATGACCGTACGGTGCGTGTATAATGCCTTACTCCATCAAGGACCACAAAAATGCTAAGTTGGAAGAGACTCCCCCTGAGGATTTGAGCACATAGATAGTGAAGAGCATTTAGAGGGCAGAACTAGAGGTAGGATGCGGATGTTACGAGAGGGTATGCTCCCGGTTCGAAAGGGCTTCAGGAGAGAGGATTGATGCTTGATAGGATTGGGGCAGAAGCTCCTATACTTGCTTAATTCTACCAAAGAAAGCTAGCCTTAGTTGTTCCTTGTCAAGTAGCCATCAAGTCGGAACATGGACTATGGACCCTAACGAAG